CTACGTTAAATATAAACAGGGCTCCATAAATGAGTACCTAGGTAGTTTTGGGTAAATACCAAATTACTTTTACTGAAATCATTATCTAGACTGTTTGCATGTAGAAATAATTTTGCGCGCCGTTTATACTGTCAATAAATAGTAAAACTATCAATCAAAAAATACTATTGATAGACGTTAAATATAATAAATACTAACAATGAACTTCAAACGAAAACAAATATGTTTAAGAAACGTATAAAAATAAGCACTTATCCTATCTTCATAGTTAATAACAATGTTATATGTTTTAATTTCTAAGGCTTGCATTTTTTTAAATTCAATACATTTTGACAGAGCCATAGCGTATTAGTTTGTTGTAGCTAACAACCATGGTATAAAGACTATGGAAAATTCAAAAGACCATTTTAATAGCTCTTCAGTGAAAATTTGGCTACACATAAGTACGAAGTAAAGTTTTGTATTGGTACATTCACAATAGTGGGGGTGGACTATTAACAGCTTCACTGTTATCGCCAATGAATATATGGAGATATTGACGATATTTATAACACACACACAAATTATAAAATCTCTAACTTACGTTACTACTCATAAGACTGGTCAAAAAGATCTAAGAATTCCAACAGGTTAGAACCAGCACAGTTATTTAAAAAGTATATCAAAAAGTATTAAGTGTAGGCAAAGGACTAGCCAGGGTTGTAAGAGTGTTATTATATCCGCACACCAGCAATATAAAGTGATAAAGATAGATAGGACCTAGCCAAGCCTGATGGTAACCGGTTTCATAACCGTTTACGATCAGACTGCGCACGGCTAACCGTGAGTAGGGTAACCAATTTATAGCACCCTTATAACGAGGTCGGAATACGTCTGCAACATTTGCGAGTATTTCATGAGCGGTTCGAGAGTTATTCGAGTGTTTTCTAAATCATTTATCTGCAATATTTAGACTTGAGGTTACATTGTAATGCTGAAAATGTATGGATGGGTATGGATGAAATACTGTTTACTGTTAGTTTACTGATATGAAAAAGAATACGTTTGAATACTAAAAGTATCAAGATACAATCGCAAAGGAAAAAGGTAAAGTATGAGGCAAATTTAAAACATTTCATTTTGTAAAGATGATTGAATATTTCGGTTCATTGGTTTGTTTAGAAACATGTAATTTGTACATCAAATTATAATAATGAATGGATTGAATGTAATGTACTGTAAAATGTGGTGCTGAATTACTTCATGTATAATAATAATCTGAAATTCTAATGCTTCTTTTGATAATAACGATATTCGATATTTGTTTCGTTTGATTGAGGTTTTAAGTAATATTCCTGATATTGAAATTCCTGAAATTCAGAATGAGATAAATTTCAATAAATTGTATAAACTCTTGAGAACCGGAGATGAATAGATTAAAATCGGTATCCTTAATTTTACCCTAGTATTTGGGGTTTTAATACGAATCGGGGAAAATAACCTTCTAATTTAAGATAATAGTCGATAAGTGACTAATTTATCGATAAGTGAGTAATTAAATGGTTTATTTTATATGTCAATACTGGTTGCTTATGCAAGATATGATCGTTAAGAAAATTTAAAGTTTAATTTTAGGCCTTTATTTATTCATTTTAGTGAGGCAAGTGCCACGTCATAAGGATAGGAAGCTTACAGTATGTGTGACAAGGGTTGGCACTGCGCAATTTCCTTTTATTTGTTTAACGTTATTTTTAACGCCACATCAAAATTTCATTCATAAAAAATTCAAATTTCATTCAAAAACTTGAAAAGCAATTTTAGAACCGTATAGAAACCCATCTTTTTTTTAAGTGACATCAGTTATGTAGTTGGTAACCAATGAAAATAACACGGGTAATCACCCAATCCTTAATGAACTCTCAGCTAAACATCCGTGCAACTAATAAAATGTGGATTTTATGTCTCATCTATGATGTTTGATATATAAAATCGAGGTATCCATGCCGTGACCATCTATCTTCCCAATAATGATATGGGTTCAAAATCTACATTCAAAATATAAATTAACTTATTAGTAACGAGTAGACATAATTTCTCTCATATTCGAAATATTAAGAGTTCCATATTTGGGTTTTTATTTCAATATAAATTTATTTCGTATATATGCATTCACTCACAATTTATTTTGTTGTGCATAGTCAACTTTGTTCTAATGTAACTATATTAATAAGTAAACTCATAATGCTTTAACAAAACCCAAATTTAGTAGGTATGTATAGTTTTTTGATTGCCAATATTTGGCACTGTTATAAGCGCGATGTTCTCGACATATCACGATTAACGGGGAAATAATAGTGTCGGTATCCACGTTAGTTTAAAAGCATATTAATATGCGGCACAAGTTTCAGGTGTCTACGCTCACTGGTACTTATCAAACAGTCGTTAATAACAACCCATAATGGTGTGAACAGCCGATTCCTTTTTTTACAAATCTTTTTTTTTTGCTATTTTTAACCCCCGACGCAAAAGCGACGGGGTGTTATAAGTTTGACGTGTCTGTGTGATTATGTGTCTTTGACATCGTAGCTCCTGAACGAAAGAACCGATTTTGAATTTGTTTGTTTTTTGTTTGAAAGGTGAATTAGTCAGGAGCATTCTTAGCTATGTTTGATGAAAATCGGGCCAAGATGGCTGGCACCACAAAATGACGGATTATATATTTTTTCACAACTCCCTCAATATGGGTATCAAATTAAAGAGCATGACTAGTAGCATACTATACACTATAACAAATTTCAAATCCAAGATGTGTGGTGGGGGTTTATTTCAATTTTGTATTGGTTATTATCTTATCTTTGAAGGAATTCCAAATATATTCAAGATTCCTGCAAACAATTGCATTATTTGCTTTTATTGGATTAAAAATAGTAAAAACATGCAATAAACTACAAACAATATTTCGAGAAGATTGTCTGGCATTTATTAATATGAAATTAAGATCACAATAAGTAGTTTTGCAAGGATTTGCTAGTTTCCAGAGTACCACTCTACCCAAAGTGAAGTGATTATGTGGCCGCCGTGTACGAGTATATGTATGGTTTATTTTCCTTTTCATTATTATTATCTTCGCCAGAAGATCGAAATATGACAATCTACATCTAGGACTGAAACCCTTCTTCTCTGGAAAAGTGCATTATTTTAACAATGAATAAGAAGCTAAACAACCATGAAATGAGTATTTCGGCCTATAAGAATATAAGTTAGATTTCATATTTTACATTAGACATTTTGCTTTTACTTAGTATAACAAAAAAAACAAACAAACAAAAATATGAGGGCAGTAGCTTTTGTTACCTTACATTCCAGCCATACCCAACTTGGGTAGCTTATTCCTGTTTATGGTTTCTTTGTTTTTCAATAAAAATATAACTACAATTTACATCGTATGAACTTCAAGACATTAATATGTTATGGAACAAATATTGTGAAAATTCGTTGACTTTCAAACAGTTTAGGTATACGTATGTTGCTTCGATGATTTTTTTTAATCGCAATTGAGAAAGTTAGCTCACAAGTATCGAGTAACCAAATGCGGAGGCATGAATTTTCTTTATAACTTTGCTATCTCCTTAAAAAGCTTATTTTCTTTCGAAGTTAGAAGTCTTATTATTGTAAAAAGTTTTATATACAGTGATTGTATTACTGGTATAAAATTATTCTCGCAACTACAACGTGGATCATTAGACATGATATAAATACTTGATTAACCATTTTTGCGAAGCATCTATTTGATGTTCTTAGCTTAACACATCCATAAAATTTGACAACTGTAGTTTAACAACTGACAACATTCTGCCATTTTTTGGGCATGTAGTGCTCGTTCTACGTAAGCTGTGGCTGTTTTTATTAGTAGACTACTATATTATCTATTATTTGCAGATACACCTACACCTCTAGGATCATTTTGAAACCCACCAGCTTTTCAATTAACTTTCAATTAATTCTCCCCGATCAAAGCAACCTAGTAAGATGGGGAAAAGCCTTGTACGATGTGCTGTGCGGAACTAGGTACAGCCAAGTACTTACTGACAGGTTGTAAGGCGCTATTAGACCGGGGTCATTATTCACGTCGCCATGATAGGGTATTAGAAATCATACTCGAAGCTATACGTTTATCACTGGCGAGAGCGAAAAAAGGAATAACAACAATCACAAGAACTAACATCGAGTTTGTGAAGGAAGGCTCAACAGAAAAGACTTCACAGAAGTCGTACTCAATTATAAATATCAGACTGGCCATTATTAGTGGACACGTATGAAAATCATTACAGTATACTGGAGGATGTCTATGCCTCGACGTCCAGACCAGACATATTTTTTATGCAACGTCAACAAAGCCTGTAGTACTTTGTAAAACTCACGGTGCCATGGGAAACGAACTTCCCTAGAGACCACGATTTAAAAAGAAACAAGTACTTTGACTTAGCCAACGAAATAACAAAAAATGGTTAGTTCGTTGCGTTGTATGCCGTGGAGGTCGGTGCTAGGGGTATATAAGCTAAGGTGAATCCATGGAACGCTAAGAAATAGGTCTACATGAGTGGTTCGTGGCTAAGTGGTAACCGAGTAGATTAACACATTGCAAAGTTAAGCAATCCTAGCCAGATTAGTCTATGGATGGGTGACCAGTCTTAACACATTGAGATCCCTCCTAGTCTCCGAGAGCACCTTAAGCCATCAGTCAAGATTGCCACACGGGTAGTTGGAGACCTAAAAAGTCCGACAAGTCTTTCTTACAGAACTTCGGCATGGCCGAGCACTTGGGTTATGGAAGTCTGATGGCAGTCTCTCCAAGTACAAAATCTAAGTTCAGCCGTATTGTAGTAGACTTAAAACCCAAACCAAACCTAGGTTGGGAACAAGGTTAAGAGGAAGATACCTACAATTTACATATCTATGTATATCGTTAGAGACTCTAACTAGAAGATTTTTATAAATAAAGGAGTATGAATACAATTACAATGAGATCTTATTTGCAGCTGTCGGCGTCAAGCGAACCGGGCGCGTTGGACGCAGTCGCAAGACGCTACCGACTCGAGAACGGCAACTCTCTGGGGGAAAAAGACGAGGTAAGAGTCTCATCAACATTTTATACAAACATCCTTGAGATTTCATTTCGGCGGTTTTAATTATTCGCGCTTCTCTTTGCAAAGTACTTAATAATTGTTGTTTGATTACGATTAGCGAAAATTAAACGTATTTTAATATTTTATAAGTAGCATATTGATATTATAAGTGGCTACTTTTAAAATAATGAAAACAATTTTAGCACTATTTTTTTATTATTTCTGAGATGCTTTGAGTTTAAACTTTTAAGATGAAGTTCAGACAACGAAGCACATAGGACCGTTACGCACTATTGTGCGTTGTGCATGTTTAACTCAAATTGAGAAATTTTAAAAACAAAAAAAATAAACAGACCAAAAAACAATCCTAAACCGCAAAAAATGCATAATTTAAAAAACTACGAGACAGGTAACGGCTTATAACATAGGGAATATTATAAAGTTCCTAAGTACCTTCAATTTGTTTGAAGTTACAGTCGGTTAATTATAATACGATTGATCACTTTTACGCGTACGTAGCTTAATTTAAGGGAAAATCAAAAACCACTCTTCATGTGCTCTTGATTGCTTGGTTTCCGTCATTTTCCGTCAGAGATGGATTTGGTGAGGAAAATAACCTACAGCCGAATACAAACCTCCTTGTTTTTTAAAGTCGAACAATTTTTAAATCACAATTTAATAGATTTTTTGCACTTAAATTTTTTATCGTTAATCTTACGTACTTAGTTAAACCATTACTCTAACTATTACTATATATTTACAGGTATAATCTAATAAGTCTAAATGTAAGCTTTATAATATAATTTATAAAAATAAATAAAATATTTACCACAAAACGTATGCAAGTAGTATTCTTCTTCTTCGATGGTTGCAGTCAGCTCTGCATCTTCCTTCCCGTTCTTTGCAAAGCTAATGAGCAGCACTCACGATTCCTGTTCATTCCCGGGTATTCTACGACAAACACCTCTTTTGCCGGCAACTTTACCCATCATTATTTGTTTTAAATGTTCATATCTTTCATGCCTAAGCACATATCCAAGAAATGCAACTTATCTCTAAGTAATGAGTATTCATCATCATCAACAGCCTCTACTAGTTCACTGCTGGACATAGGCCTCTCCTTAGAAAGGAGGTTTTGGCCTACTATACCACGCTGGCCAGACGGGTTGGTATAGGGCTTGTGTCAAGTTTTCCTTCTCTCTGCAGTGCTGTTTTCCTACGTAGTTTGTTCCCTTAGTCGCTTTTTACGGATGAATAGGGGTGGTGACACTCTGTATTCTTAATCCGTCACCACACGGACAAATGAATGAGTATTAACGGAATGACTATTAACGAAACTAAATTAATGAACGTTGTAAAGTGTAATTTTTTTGAGTTCCTTCTAGTAAATAGACAAAACTTATAACAAATTCGAAAAGCCTACTTAAGTTTTTTAAAGTTACAGACTTTATACGATACATAAAAGTCATAAATGAAACGTTATATATATAAATACTAACTCATTCTGGCTCTGACATGTTGAGATTGAGTAGGGTATCCATCATACACGTGATTACACGTTCTCATATTGATATATACAAGCCGACAGCTGCAGCGAGAAGAATAACATGATTTACTTTTCTATTTTTATTTATGTCTGTATATAATATTCTATATGAACTGTTTCAACAAGATGTCTTATCGTAGCCAAACAACTTTTAGATAGTCTATACTATATGAATAGGTAATGAGCAAATTGCAGTACTTCAGGAACTACTTGTACCATCCATTTCTCCAAGTCATTTCAAGACATTGTCGATCTCCCTGTTATTGTATATAAAGCAGAATACTGGAATTTCAAGTGACCAGCAGTTAAAAACTATAACTTTAAATTTTGTTTTTTAAATGTATTTCTAGCAGATATACAAGCTGTTCAATTTTCTTGATTAATTTGATAAGCTACAAAAGTGTTCAGCACATAATTTATTTTTGTAATTGTATAATCTTGACCCTTATGTTACATTACCTACTATTTAAAAATAGTAGGTAAAGTAGATTACTGCACATTTTTTTGGGTTTAGAGATGGGTATAAACGGGAACGCGCCCGCGAGACACATGTGCGTTCCTCGTCGTTGGTCTCAGATTTATTTACGTCAAGTAAATTCCACGCTCTCTCTGACAACTTTGGAGACCCGTTTTCATGCATTAATGGTAAAATTTAAGATCTGGACGAGTTAAAGTCTGTATCAAACCCTGTCTACTGCTTGTCAACTAATACAAGGAATTGTACAGAGAACTGCATCAGTGCCAAGAACTTCTGTTCCTGTCCATTGCTGATCGAGGTTGGACCCATCTAGGCCAATCGAAATCTGCAGAGGCTCAAAATATATAGCAGGGATAAATGTTAAAGTCGGCCAAATACAACGAAGTCTCATACGGTGTTCCATTAGGAAATATTTTGACCAAACACACTGGCAAATTAAAAACTACACAACAAGGATTATATTATTTGATTATTTAATTTTAGTTTTTAAAACACCTAAAGTATATATTCCATTGTAAATTAATATTTTAAATTGAAAATAACCATCAGATGTAAAGTGCCGGTGCCAATCATAGAGAATAAATTAATTTCATTTCATTTTCGTTTCCAATTTTATATTTATTAGTAATTTTGTCATGAACATGAACATTACAAATAAATATAAAAATTGCTCATAATTAAATCTTTCCAATGAAATCCCCATAATTAGCAGAATAAAGCAAGTCTGCAGATGTTTAATATAAATTTAAAAAAAGTTTAGGTAAGGAATGCACTTATTTAAATTTAAGAATAAAACTTGAAGACGATTAAGCGCAGTTGGATGAAATCACTGTTTTTATGACTAGAAGCGGCTGCTGAAGATTACTCAGAGATGAATTTGTCTTTATAGATGTTTATCGAAGTTTTTTTTTATCTGAACTTGAAAATCTGTTAATGTCTGTCTGTCTATAGTATAGAAATAAATTTTCAGCACTAGAAAAAAACTGTACTCTGTCCATGTCGTTTATTTATTTTTTGTTTAAAAATGTCACCGTAATTTAACTAATACCTAAGTAATTTAAATAATACCATTCAAAGTAAAGAAAAACGACATTATTTTGTTTATGTTAACTAATAATTATGCAGTATTTGTAAAACCTTACAAATCAGACTAAAAAGTCAGGCTGTCTATGCCCCGCAAATTTTCCTCCATATGTATTAATGTTTGACAAAATTGTCTGAAAATCCCGAAGTTCATCCAAGTAGCTAAAGATATTTTCAAAACGTCCTTGTCAGTGATTTTTTTCACAAAACGCCTTTCTGAATTTTAAATTGACCTCCTTTGTTTTTATGTTCTATCTTTAGTGTTAATGGATATCTGCTTAACTCTCCTAAGTCCTTATTTAGTTTTTAATACCTACTTGGTTTTTTAATTAATACTAAGTGTAATCATTAAGTTGTTATGGTTGGCACTTTAATATTGCTAGGCGATATAAAGGATTGAGTTGATTATTTTTAATCAGCTGGGTTATTTAAGAAAACTGATATTAAACGTTAATTTTGTAGTCTCGTAGAACTTTGGCTCAAATCCTCTACACAAATAAATAAAATTGAAGTGTCTGTTTGTAATGTCAAAGAAAAGGTTTCTTTCATGCTCACACGATTATTTGCACGATATAGGTATCGCCTAATAATGAGTTTAAATATTTTTGTCTATCTGTTTGTTGCGGGCAATCTTCAAGTAAACCTCTCCAGCTAAGTTAACCAGCTAAATGCTTTATAATGACTATGCTTTTGCCTAAAAACTATTTACTGACAATAACCTTAATTGTCACCTTGTCCATACTATTTATCTTTCATAGAATAGTCATAGTTTGATTTTTTTGCAGTTGTTCGGGCCACCAAGTGCACCCGTTCTTGAAAACCCTGAGTTCCAAACAAGATGGTACTTTAAATACTTCCTCGGCAAAAGTAAGTAGTACTTTTTTTCGTATCGGTTATGTACCTCATTATTAATATTCTTACTACACTTAACACTTTAAAATATACCCTGTAGTGGGACAAATATCCCTTCTAAAAGGTATTTATGTATTTGTTTATTAAGACATATTTACAGAATAAACACAAACATTCATACACATAATTGTTTTAAAATAAGTACACTATTTTCGCTATTATTTTCATTGTAATTTCGTTTCCCCTCTGTACGGGAAGCCTTGTTTGTTAAATTACATTAAACACCGAACCCAACATGCGCTTTGTATCTAGCACTCTCAAACTCCTTTTTAATTGTGTATTCCCTTTAAAGTAAGTAAATACATACACGAACATACATATATGTACATAATATATACACGAAGTTTCTAAATTAAATCTCTTTTTGAGGTTATTGACCTTTCTGAGTTATATGACTCATCCTCGTAATATTTTGGGGGTACTACACCTACCCCTCCTACTCCACCTGCCTCTACACATATATTTAGACAAGTTTTTATGTGCAACAAAACAAGTTGCAATCAAATTATTCATTTGCGTCTGCCAATGAACAATTTGTTTGCAACTTGTCAAAGACATGCCAAAAAGTTTATCAATTACAAACATACATACAATTACATACTGGCAAATCCTCAATTCACAACAATTTTGATACCAGGATATCCAATTTATTCTTGTTTTGAAAGGGAATAATATGTCAAACTTTAAGGAAACCTATATTACCTTGACGTCGACAGAATCTGCATACGCAAACTATGTTAGGTAAAATGTCAGGGAACACGAAACTGAGGTACGAGTCAATTTATGACTTTCAACAATTTGGCTCAGGAACAATGCTGAACACGACACGACTGCTGTACAACAGTTAATTGTTAATTAAAGTTCAACTTGTATTCTGATACACCATAATGTGGGTACAAAATACATGTAAATAATAATAATATAATAATTTTACACATCTCACACACGGCTGTCTGATCCCAAACTAGGCAGAGCCTGTACTATGGTATTCAGACTGCTGATAAACATACTTATATATTTCTAAATACATACATAATATAGATAAATTACACCCAGACACAGAACAAATGATCGTGCTCAACACACAATTATTTGTCCTGGGTGGGAATCGAACCGACGATCTCCGGCTTCGCAGTCAGGGTCACTAACCACTAGACCAACAGGCACGTCGCAAAATTAAACAATTAGGGTAAGATGATTTACAGACCTTCCTTATATTCTCTTATCTGAATAAAGGAGTCGCCAGAATGACGATATTACGTTCGTTACAATTTTTAAATAACAGTGCTGAAAGTACAAGGTCATAAATAAATATATTTAAAAACCGAGTACTGATCTCACTGCGACTACATTATGATAAATTAAAAAAACTCTATTCTTTATCTCTTAATTTTCTACCCTGATGTGTTATGTTTTGTCTTCATATGACTGAAAATCAAGCGGAAAGCGTACTCTCAAAAAAAAAAACCAAATCAGGTGCAGGAATAATAGAGTATTGATAATTCTGAGTTAGTAAATAGAAAAACATCCCAATTGAGAACCCCTTGAAAACAGCTCAAAATGTTATTGTATCGTAATTTGAACTTAGTAAATTAAAAGTACACTTTTAAGGAATCTTTTCTAGGAAAATAAACGCAAATACGACCACACCACACATAGACAAGAGTTTACGTTATCTTTATCATAGCAAATTTCTAATAATATCTTTAAATGAACATCCGTAGATAAATCACTACCAATATTAACAATTTCTTGTCCCATTTAACAGATTTTACAGATTTTACAGTTGTTTCAATTTAGGAGCTACTTTTAAAACTACTAATACTACTCAACATGTTAGAATTCTATCTTCAAATAAAATAAAATACAACAAAAACAACGCTAAAATTTGTTGTGAAAACATTCCTGAACAATTAAATTCAATGATTCCACAGAAAATTAATATCATACTAAATAATCCAAAATTTCTATCAGCCTCTGATAGTCTAAACACGCCACTAATACCTTAAAGTTTTGTATCTCGCTTCTCGACAATCTTGAATTGCGAAGCATTGTCAACTAGATATTTAGTTTATTGTTGAAAACAATGTTATCATTACTCACTTATAAATAACATATTAAAAAGCCATTGCATTTTTCGCTTTTCAGTTTTCGTCACATGTCACAATTCGATCCAATATTCCTTTATTTCTGTATCGATTCAACAAGGCAACACAAGTTTCAACACGCAATTCTTTCTGCAGATCAGTCAAATCATGAGGCACCCATTTTTCATATTCTTTTATCGTTGATTTGATGAAAATGAGTCAATATTGTAGGTAGGGTTAAACCATTAAACCATGCCGCTAATGCCTGGGTAGTTTGACTCGGATTGGCTTCCACAATCTCCTTTAATTCAGCGTTATTCACCTGTGTGGGTCTGTCTGTCTGTCTGTCTGTGTGGGTGTGTCTTCCACGTGGATCGTTTTCCAAGTCAAAGTTTCAATTACGAAAGCGTTTAAACCAAAAACGCACGGTGCGTTCATTATTAGTCTCCTCTCCAAACGCATCGTGGATATTGCGAGTCGTTTAGAGAGAGCGTTAGTTCCACGTCGGAACTCGTATTCAAAAATGACTCGGATCTTAGAGGTATCCATCCATCACGTCTAAGCTGAATAAAAAAAATTGAAAGTCGCACATTCGCTAATGTGGCACATTTTTTAAAAGAAGAACCTCATAGGTATCATGTGAAAAAAGTTTCACACGAAAATCTCACACCATGAAGGTTTCATGTCAATTCCAAATATCTATTACTATACAACGGCAACTTCATACTTTAACCCCTTTTTTTTCCGTGCGGAAATCCCCTCGGATACCACCTATCGGTGGCATGTCGGACTCGAACCGACTAAAACCGCACGCCGTCTCGGGTACTAATAGCCGGGGAACCAGGTATACCCTAGAAAGGAAGTCCCTGGTGCCCCGACATACCTCGGGCCATCTACAACATGTTCCCTCTGCTCCCTCTTCTCTGCCAGCGTGTGGAGAGCCGTGTCCACGGTCTGGCCATCGCAGTGGTGGCACTCAGGCGTTGGCTCCTTGCGGATCAGACACAGGTGATCCCCGAAACATCCTTTCCCAGTGATCACCTGCGTCAGTCGGTATGAGAGGGTCCCGTGACGCCTCTCGAGCCAATCCTCCATAACGGGATACTTTAACCCCTATAATAACCCTTAACGTGACTACACGTGCTTTAGTTATAAATAATGATGACGAATAAATGAGTATGTGCCAATCACAGCATGCATTGGCTTATACAATGTAGTGTGGCGTTTTGTTTATGTCACATTCAACAATGCCCATTATCGCCAGACGTTCGTGATCGTACTGTTTCCGAATAGATATAAGGTACGATTTAATGACTCTATCCGAGCATTATTAGGCCGTAGAAATAAATAATTGTGAAACGATGATTGAGTTTTTATGTATGATGATGGTAATAACAAATAAGATGTGTTATGGGCAATAAAACAAAAATGAAGTACTAAATAGAGATCACATGTCATGGACAATTGTATGTAGTAAAGAAAATATTATCATATACTTTTTAATAACAAACAAAGAATATCTTTAAATAAGGATAAATCCTGATGGGTCCAGATATCTTAATAAAAGTTTTTTCAGAGCGTAGCATTCCGTGCTGTTCTAGTCGGTTCATTACGACATACCTCCCCATCTTAAACCCCGGTGGGGTGACTGCCAGAGGGAGTTTCCACATGTACAAAAAAGGACAAATCCTAATATCGTAGGGTACAAAGTATTATTAATATATTTCCACTATGTAAATATTATCACTATACTCATATCGGTAATTAAAACTCTATGTTAGAAATACAAAATGTTATGGTTTTAGTAAAAGCTCTTTCGAACACCTGTATAATAATTTTCGATAGGCATCTATAACTACCAGACTGTAATACTTAAAGTAAAGCACCGCTAATAAATTATACCGTAAACATTTGCCGAGTTAAGTAGCAAGGAATATTAATAGATGTACGTAAGCATAAATATTTACGTAACAAAATACGTTGACCTTACCGAATATGTTCTTAGAAATAATATGTTGTGTATAGTATAACTTCCACAGTGAGAATCATTATTATCATTTGAGCCACCAGGTTGTAAACTTCTGGCATAAGTCTCATACAGTGACTTCCACGAGGACCGTTTAGAAGCGGCTTGCATGTAATGCACCATTAGAACATAATTATATTACCTAAATAATATTATAAAAAGATAAAGCTTGTGGATTTATATGTTGGGTATAATCTCCGGTACAACTGATCTGATGATTGTGAAAAAAACTCATTTTTACAAATGTATATTATCACATATTGCTCTAGACCATTTTTTACCGCATAAACCGACATACACGCGGGCGGAGCCGCGGGCAAAAGCTAGTGATGTTGTAAGCAGAATGAAAGTAAATACAATTCGAATTAGATCTGATTATTAAAAAAAGTGTAATTTGAGACTCATATCATTTAGAGAGCAAAACAATTATTTACAAACCTACGCATAAATAGATTTACCTATATCAAAAGATATCCTTAACGAGTTAATGATGTATTATTTACATATGCCAGCGCTCAACCAGAAAATAATAATTTCTTATTTTATACTTCATTGAAAATTTCAGTAATTATTGTTCAAATTGACGACTCGCTTACATTCCCGTACCATAAAAAGTGTTCCTAATTTTTTTATATAATATTGGGGGCAAACGGACGGGACCGAAGGGGTCACCTAAGGCCCTAGTGCAAGTTTATTTCACATCTATTCGATCGTCTCTGTGAGCGCGTTCGGCATTGCAAATGAGCCCGCGCTGAACTCTACACCAATCACAGCGCCGAACGTCGTCACCGTGACGATCAAGACGATGTCAAAAAAACTTACACTAACTTAACCCTCTCAGG